CCTGTTCCAACATTCTGAAGACCAACACATAATGGCATTCCTTATATAGCACTATAACTCCTCCCATTATACTTCTGCATATACCTTTAACAATCAATGAGCAGAATATGAACTTGTACATCTAGTCAAACCATAGCCCATCAAGACAAAATAAAGTGCAATTTCAGTTCCTGCATTTCCTGCATACTCAGTACACTGACAGTATCCTAGCTACATGTAGCTAACCAACTGACACAACATACACATATGCCACATGGAGATTTTGGCCTACTAAATTTTGACCATGCTGGAATCCCATCACATTCCCCCCTTTTGATGCCTCTGATATAACATTATTCCAGATGCATCACCAATCACAGTTTTACCTACATCTCTCAAGTAACCATTGAACCAGAGTAGACCTTGTAAGCATCTTAAAAACTCCTTCAACATTCTTCATCCTGAATATATTCTCTTCGGGCTAGGGGATCATATCTTCCAGACAGCCATTACATGAGCCGCTGTCTTTCTCTCTATAGTACTCTCTATAATACTACGTAGGGACCTTACCACTAATGGAATTAGACAGGGCAGGAGGAGGCACAAAAAAAAATATATAATAAATTCTACTCCTCCTACTAATGTCTTAATTCCTCCAAGCTGCTCATACCAACTTCCAAACCAACTACTTAGGTTATACCCATTCCAGACCTGAGTAGGTACATGCACAAATTTAACCATGTGGCTTGTAAGTTCAGCCACTGCCTGCCCTTCATCATCTATGTGCAGATAACAGTTACTTAGATTAAACTTTCCGCATACACCTCCTTCTACTGCTAGTAAGTAATCAAGGGCTAGCCTATTCTGGTATATGGCTGATCACATCTTGGTATTTTGCTTAGCTAGAAGATTAAGCACTTGAGCTGTCTCATTAGTAATAATCTCAACTACCGCCTGTAGTCTAATAATGCGGTTGAGCATATATAATCGGAGTTCTATATCCATAAGTGCCATCTTCTGCCAAAGTAGCAGGTCCATAATAATTAATAATACGTTGAGAGGGCCACTCATTATCTTCCCAGCTACCTATATTCAAGGATGCTCTCTCCCTTTTATGATTTACATCATAAACCTTAACTCCCAAGGTCTCTCCTGTTTCGATTGGCAACAAGAAGAAGGATGGCTTTGGCATACCTAATACACATGCCCCTTCCCAATCTTGTGGTAACTCCGAATAAGTTTTCTTACCACAGATCCAGTATAAATTTGCTGGGGCTTTCCAACTAAATGTAGCCGATAAGTCAAACCATACCTCCTTTAAATGAGTGTAATTGGCAAACGGATTAGTAGGTTCCGAGACATTTGAAGCTGACCACCAAGTAGTATTTTAGTATTAACATTATAGGCTTTTTGTCCCAAGCAAGTTAGCTCACCTACAGACGTGTTATACATTGTCCCTTTCCTGGCTATACAAACATGACCTATAATGGAGGGTTTTAACCACCATTCCAATTTACTTCTAGTACTTACTTGATGATCAGACTGGAAAGGTATCTGTTGTTCATATGTCTCAGAGCCAGGGTACCATATTTCCTTTGCCTCCCATGGCCACTGGTCTCCCATATTAGTACCTCCACACACATTAAGACTACCTGCAATACCCTCAGCCAAATCAATAAATAGGTTGTTAACATTATGGGGAATTTTATCCTCAGTACTCATCTCCTCATAGAAGGAATGAGAAACCTGATGAGTTTGAGTTGCCACTGTCTCAGTTTCAAGACCTACATATATTATTGTTCCTGGATCTACTCCTGTGCCATATATTTGAAACCCAAACAGACCTCCAAACCTGTCAATAAAGTACTGCAGATTGGAAATGGTCATGTGAACGGGGTTACACACATAGTTTTACAGTATGGTGTGGTAGGCAACCTTTGGATAATCATATCTTGATCCACTGTTTTTCCCAGGTTGCCCAACCTACACATGACCAATAGGGGCAGAAGTTAGTCTCTATTTGGGCAATCAGGATCAGTAGATCTTTTACTGGGACATAAGTATTTATCATTAAACCCATAAGTTCGTTCCCATTTAAGATTACCACATACATTCCAAAGTCTTCCACTACCCGAAATCGCCTTACATGCATCAAATAGTAGAATACCCGTGGAATGTATGGTGCTTATCACAGTCCTATTTAGTAATGTCCCCTGGGAGTTACTATTCCGAATTACCAACCAAATTGTACGGGGTTGGAAATGGGGATCAAAACATTTAGACTCTCCTGATATTGGCTTGCACACACTATAATCAATATCCAAATATCTACATTTAGATACAGATCCCTTACATTCATACTGTGAGTGCCAGATGAGAGTTTGGGATATTTGGTTACCTGTTTTAGTAGTCTTAATGCAACTATCGCAATTCGGTATGTCTGTACTCCTACCTTCCTGAAAAATCATAAAAATACTAAGACACAATAAAACACATTATTCCTGAAATCCTCATTTTTCTTCGACCGTGCGATGGCCTCTCAGCTTCCCGATTGTGAGGGCTGCAAGGATGTTGTTCTTCTGATCCTCACTTTCCTTCACAGAGATCCCTTCAAGATACTCTGGCTATGACACGTAGGCAGGTGGTCAGGCTTTATTATGGCCGTCAAAACACCTACTTGATGATCTTTGTAGACTTTTAACTAGAATGTCTCGATATCCCCTCGTCACTCCGACTGAGTTGCACGCTTCAACCGGGTCCTGCAAGGATTCTCAGGATCTGGAGTAGCTTGCCAAGAGTCTGCCGCTGGTTTAACCTTAGAATGATGAATCCAAGGAGTCACTTCCGCCACCTTTACAGCTATTGGGGTAGATAAAAGAACAACATACAAAGGCTAACAGGATACACCCCGAGCTTTAACTCAATATGTATTGGTGGGATATTACGAGCAAGTCCTGGAGGATTATTTTCTTCCCATACTCCTGGAATGTCAAGTAAGGATTCATCACTCTTAGGGTTAACACTTGTCACTATGGAATAGAAGCGTCATTCTTCTTCCCTTGGCACCGATATCACCATTATGCCTGGTAATCCCTTAAACTTCAGAGATGTTAATCCATTAGGTAAAAGGTTATCTGAGCTTAAAGCTTCGATAATAGATCTCGTCCTAAAAGTTGAATCGGACACTCTGGCATATATAGGAACTAATGCTTCACCACATGGCCTCCCAGAATACAAGTGCGACTCTTAAGAACCGGTCTAGCTGCACTTCTCCCAGTAGCTCCTATCACAGTTATAGTCTTCCCCGAAGGCGGAGCCACCATCTTAGTCACCACAGAATGTTCAGCACCTGTGTCGATCATGAAAGAACTTCTCTTTCCCCCTATTGCTACATCGACCATAGGCTCCGCTCGACCAAGTGGGATGGAGCCCAGTCGGTATCAATAGTCTTCCATGATAGTGTCAGCCAGACCCACAAAATCTCTATCCTCTCTTTCTCTAGGTCTCTGCGTGGGTAGATAGTATCTGTCTCCTTGAACACTTCCTCTACTATTCCCATCATTCCCTCTAAAACTTTCTCTTCCTCTATAACTACCACTATAACCTCCTCGTACCCTTCTCTCTCCTTGTCTATCACCTTCATACTGCTCTCTCTGTGGACACTCACTCTTCCAATGTCCCTCCTTTCTACAATACGCACATTAATTCCTTCTTAAAGTCCCTTGCTCAGCCTATTCTCGTCTCCTCTATTCACTTCCCTGTCTTTCTACACTTAAGATAGCTACCGCTAGCATATCTGCCTTTTTCCTCATTTTACGTTATTCCTCCATCTCCCTATTCATATATACTGTATTTGCAATCTCCATTAGCTGTAATATGGACATCCCTACAAATCCCTCTAATTTCTGTAATTTCCTTTTAATATCACCTTGGGCCTGGCTGACAAATGCTGAGTCTATCATTCGGAAGTTTTCAGGGGCTTCAGGATTGAAAAGAGTGTACAATCTATTTGACTCAAGCAGTCTCTAATATGGGACTTCGGCAAGGCTGCTCAATAATAGGTTCCAGTCTAGGAGTAGTAAGATAGGTGTAAGGGGGTGAGCTAATTTTATTAGTCGGCATTTGGTAGATGAAAAAACATTTTTTTTTTTTAAGTGTTAAACCAAAAACCTACCAGTAGGTGTCACCAGAGGGTAATTGTATCAAAATAATCTTTATGGGTCTAATAAGAAAACTCAACTTTTAATATATTTATACATAAAATAAAACCTTATAGCAATAAATATATTAAAATAGGGTAAGCAATCCTACTTCTATCTGTTATAAACAATGTATTATCAATGTAACTCCCGAAGATGGCCAGTAGGTGGCTTAGAGTGCCTCCCTAAAGTCAAATGAAACAAATAGACTTTAATTAATTATGTCCTATTTTATTATTACTTATTTTAATCAATGTCCACCCTGATATCTAGGCTTGATTAAATCTTTAGTTCTAAAGTAAATTAAACATTTCAGTTTGTAGTTTAGTAAAAGGGGACATTTTGGACAAAGCTGGGAGGGGCCCATCCAGTAACTAAAAAACCAATATACCATCTGATACCATTGATCATTGATTAGGGGGAGGGGTAGTACAGAAATACAAGAGTTTGAAACACAGGAACAGATAGGTATGTGGGTAGGCGGGGACAGTAGAGCAGGGGGAGTGCAAATACTGACTATATACCAGTTCTTAGCTTGGGAAGAAGAATAGGGGCGTGGCTAATCTGGCTCTGGAGGATGTTTGGGGGGTTGGTAATCAGATGCCAGGGGGGAGGGGATGTCCAAAGCAGTTGTAATTAAGTCCTTAGTTCTGACCACCATATGGCTACATTGTTTCCCATATGACACATAGAAACATAGAATGTGACGGCAGATAAGAACCATTCGGCCCATCTAGTCTGCCCAATTTTCTAAAAACTTTCATTAGTCCCTAGCCTTATCTTATAGTTAGGATAGCCTTATGCCTATCCCACAGTTTAACTCACCAAGGCAGTTTTTCAACAATCAGTTTCCAACAGTCAATATATAGAAACTGATCATAGAATTCCGGCCTACTAGTTACAGCCACATGTACACCCTGCACTAAATTTAAGTGAAGACTGCTACATGGAGGCCATGCAGCCACCAGGACAGGCTACTCCCTACTTTTTTTTTTTTTTTTAAACATACAAGACAAAAGACTAACAGCCTAGTGAATCAGAAGATTATTTCAACAAAACGTCTGATTCAAAAAGCTGTACAAATATACACACAGTTTCAACAGTCACACCAATCTCCTTACTAGGCCCAAACACACACATGCACGCACACACACAGGATCCTCACATGCTCAACAATATCACGACGTCGCACACACGAAATTAAATCAAAAACCCACCAAAGACTATACACTTATCAATGTAACTATTATTCAAACCATACAACTATCCACGCTATTAATCCATATAAACTAACCGATCACATAACATTTCAACAAATTCATCTCTACAATCATCTGTACTATAAATCAACTTTTGACTAACCAACTATATCACATTCTAGTAACCTCATCTTTACAGTCAGTGGTTATGGTACAGTTAGTAAATGGTTATAATACAGTTTTAAAGTCACAGATCAGTTAGTAACAGTTATGGTATTATACATATAACATAAAACAGCAATTGTTAGTAATTTTTACACAATGTCAGTGGTTATGGTACATGTCAGTAGTTATGGTACCGTGCGCTATTTTACAGTTATACACACAATTTACACTCCCACTAGACAGCAGAGCTCTAACTTTCTAGTAGGACATACAAGTTAACCAATTCACCAACTACAATATATTTAACAACATTTACAATAATCCCAACTATTCTAACTGGCCAGCACCTCGAGAGCTTTCGATCTATTTATACACCAGAGATTCGATAAGTTCTTCGCTGCCCAGACACCACGTATAGCGAACTAGAGGGCAGAATTTACACAGTACCCAGCAAGTCTATTAAACTATCAATAAGCTAGTGGCTGGATTTACAACAGAGCACACTTAGTTAAGATAGGGTGAAATCTAGCAAACTATAATATACAACAGAGTATGCTAGTCTCCCGGTCCCCCCGACCTAGCGAACAAAATTTACACCCTAGATACGCTAGTCAAGACAGGACACCGGTGTCCGACATGAGCTATTTACACCAGAACTCAGTCTGACCCAAACCACCTATATTAGACGGGCTGACTACAGAGCGTCTAATTTCCAGATAAGCGTTGCGCTTTCGCTTCTTCCTTCTATTGAAGGGGCCAATACCAATAACCGGTTCCAAATATAAAACCCCTTGTGGGTCTACCGCTCTAACGGTATCAATCTTACCTGTTAGTTACTGGACCTGGGTTCACTCATAGACGGAACAATCCGGGACTCACTGCGCAGAAGCCGATGATCTCCTGGACAAAAGGCCAGTGGCGCCGAGACGAAAGGAGGTCCACGCAGTAGAAGTCCAGGATTGTAGCGTAGAAGGTTTGGTAAAAGTTTACCGTCTCAAATCTCTGCGCTAGCTTCCATGCAAATGAGGTTCCCACTGCCAATGCACCAGAGATGTTGCAGTGTAAGCATGCAGAAGCCAAACACAGAAATATTGGACACAGGTCTTCAGGAAGTAACAGGCCTTTATTCACATTACCGATCGGGTCTCAGATGAACTCCTGTTCCAACATTCTGAGAGACCAACACATAGTGTACATTCCTTATATAGCACTATAACTCCTCCCATTAATAGCTACACCCACATATACCTTTAACCAATCAATGAGCAGAATATAGACTTGTACATCTAGTCAAACCACATGGCCCATCCAAGACAAAGGAAATA